CCGCCCTATTGCCGAGGCCGCGACGACACGGGGAGACGACTTCCCCCACCCCCACCCTCCCCGAGGTACACATTATGACAGCGGTGCACTGCAGGCCATCAGATTAAGAGGACTCCGACGTCCGCGGTGGCACGAGACCGCGGGGGTCTTGCTGCGGCCGGGGCGGGGCGGCGTGCGCGGAGGGGCATAGCAACAGCGCCAGCCCAACCGACTGGTTCTCTTATTGATCGTGATAATTATTCACGAGGAAGCAGAGTTGTGAGTGTGGTGGTGACGTTGTGACCGCGAAGGGTTGGTGACGGCGTGTGGGCGTCCGATAAGCCTGAACCGAGGAAAGAGCAGAACCGGCACACTAAACGGCTGACTCATTCCCGCGGGGCGCGGAGCGGGCCGACCCGGGGTGACGCGGCGGCGCAGGGCGCGGTGACTGCAACGCAGGGGACATCCCAAGCCCCGTCCTGACTTGACGGGGAGGGTGATCGCGGAAAGCTTCCCGACTTTGAAACTTTCGGTTCAAGCCCCCATTGTTGTCATCTTTCAGCAGAAGCAAAACATTGAAATATTGGGGACTCGAACCGGTAGGGCATTTCACTCGACGCAAACCGATTCAAAGAATGCTTCCTTCACCCTTCCTCTTCCTCCCTTGCGCTGGTGAGCCGACGCCAATAAAACATTCCGGTAAAGCTGTCAGGATTTACCGTTATGCTTTATTAAGTTCTCGGACACACCCCGACCCTAGGGTAGGGCACCCTTGCTCTCCGGGTACAACACGCGTAACGACACGAGTCCCTCGCGGGACCGACATCAAACGATTCCCTCGCTGCCAACCATTGGACAGGGATGAGCACGAACCAGCGAGCAACTCACGGTGAAGAAGGGCGAGAAGAAGTTGACGCGCAGAATCATGGTTGCGGCAGGCGCGATGTCACGACGACGCGGGGCAGCGGAGGACTCGGAGGACCTGCCCCGTCGCGGAGGCGCTCTCACTACGCGTCGTGAAACACATGTCAGCTCTGGCGCCCGCAGGCATTCCGTCTTTTGTCCCCGTAAAGATAAAAGAAGCAGCTATAGTTTGTGTGAAACTTTCTGGAGTCGGGCGGGAGGGATGGCAAAGCGCGGCCAATCGCGCTGCGCTATCGAGATGCAGACATCGCGGACCAGAAAAAATAAAAACACAAAGCGGCCCCCACCAACCCCACGTCGCGAATCACCTGCTTTTGAAGTTGCATCCTTTTGCCCGCGCGGCGGCCGGGTAACGTACCAGCAGCATGGCAAACATGCTCAGGAGCATCATGGTGGCGGACAGCAAAGCTCGTTCCCAGCTCAGACAAGGCCGTCGCTGTCCTGGCGCGCGGTTGGTGGTCCTAGACTCTAGGACTCTCGAGCGCGTCGTCGCTGTGCTCTAGCCGTCGTCGAGCAGCTCACACACCACCCAAGGCTCGTGCTCATCGCGGCCCAGCCCAGCGACACACAGGAGGCCCGCGAGGTTCCCGCGAGGTAGCCGCACACTTGCTGCGGCGACACTCGACACGCAAACCTCAAAAGTCCCTGACATGTGTGGAATTTGGGCTGTGTGGGCGTTGGTGCCCTCACGCTCACGCACGGTGCCGGGTCGTGGTGGGGCGTGGCGGGCGTGGCGGGCGTGGCGGGGCGTTGCGGGTTGTGGCGGGGCGTTGCGGGTTGTGGCGAGGCGTGGCGGGGCGTGGCGGGGCGTGGCATGGCGGGCTCCACTTGTGACAGGGGTGAGGGGTTGTTGAGTGTGGTCGCGACGAGTGGGGGCATCGGCATCTCCAAGAGTCTTCTCATGGACCTCGAGGCCCTCGACAAGGTCACTTCCCCATAATCTCTGACACGTCGGCCCGCCCAAAACATCTTGTTTGTGTCGGAATCAAGAGTTCTTTATCCTCCACCCTCCTACCCGCGTGCGGAGCGCAGGGAACGCGCCATCAACGCCTTCACACGTTTGGGGATCCTCTCCATCCGAGTCATTAGTGTCTGTGGTGGTGTCTGCTCGGCGCACTCCAGCAGGGCCTGGGGAGGCTCTGCCGCGGGAGCGCAGCCGGTCTGGCGCCAAGAAAAACGGGTGGGGAGGGAGTGGGTGGGTTGGGAGGAAGGGAGGAAGGAAGGGGCGGAGGAGGAAA